ATCTCCCCGTACACCGTTGGAGTTAAATTGGCCTTTTATCTACATAATTCTATTAAGCTCTCCCATCAACGGTTACAATATTGATTTATATTTCAGCATTCGTGGGTACTAGAAAAAAATACTGGCTAGTTACAGAATAAAAATCGAAGGTACAACACTACAGTATATGCAAACACATCAACGGAGTCAGTAAACCAAGATAACGAAGAAGAATTACTAGCAATGTATAATTAACAAGGTCAAAGCATAATTCTTTATTTTTGTAAAATGAATATTGAGAGTAATGGATCGGCTAATTAAACGATATAAATGATAGTGAAGCTTTATTTTAGATTATGATATACGTATATCACCCAGGTCATGTGTGTTATAATGATAAAATAACCTGAAGGATTTTGATTACAACAGGCAAACCTGTTTCGTGATCATTCCAATTTACATCGAAGTTGAGAACTTACATTCCACTCAGATCCATCTATACAGGTATCTTTATTGGCGAAAAAAAGGCCCCATTTGTTAGGCGTTTATTACCTTTCCTCAATGCCTCATAAAAAGCCATCGTATTATTCTTAGTTGCGACTTCCAAGACAGAATTGTTTTTGCACCAACCACTAGCTTAGAAAATCCCTCCACGGTCTTTGGAACTTCCACATGCTGCAAATCCATTGTAATAATGGTATCTTCAAACAAATACTTCGATGCAGAAATTTTAAAGATGAAATCCATTCGATTGAAGATTGTAAGTTTCGATTTTCGTGATATCAGCTTTGGTGTCAGAGGGGAGAGCAAAGAATAGGGTTGTGAGAATCACATTGGAGCAATACTCTAATTTCTGAAGATCACCTGTCCTTTTGCTGTGGGTGTTTAGGACACCATCTTCTTGAGCAAGGATTTCGGTATCTAAAGATTTAAGAAATCCTTTACCATCTAACTTTGGAGCACTACGACCAGCAATGATGATTATGCCCTTTTGAATACATAACACACATAGTCAGAGGCCCTATCGTCAAGAGGTGAAGACTCAAGCGAAATTTTTTGCATAACTATATATGCCCGTAATAAGTAATCTGGGTGGTTGATCTATCAACACAATATAATCTCGTGCAAGAAAATTTTTTATTATTCGGTGAACTTGCTTTATTAATAATATAATTTAGTATAAATTGTATACATGAAGTCGAATTCTAATTTAGGAATTTTTAGGGGTTGAAGCTGTTACTGTCATTTCGCCAGAACTATATTCACTATCTCCGGAATCAGAATTATGAAATATTTTATAAATTGTACATGCGACAGCCGTTCTTAATGTCATCAAAGCATTGGATAAGCGGGTATATGGAACTCAGTGAAGTCATATGTAGTGGAATCGGTGCTTCCTCTATTAGGCAGTATTTGTAAATACCCGATTCTCTACGCATGACATAAAGCTCCATAACATCACCTGAAATGTTCGAAAACAATGTGGTTAAACATTATCAATTGGGGTATAAGAGCGAAAATGTGAAGTAAAAAAATATGTTGGATTACCTGCAATGTTGATAGCGAATATTGATAATATCTGCCTCTTAGATGAAAGATTAAATACCCTTTTAAGCTTTGATATTTTTCTAGTAGTGTCGATAGAATCTTTAGAAAATCGTATTAATTTTTTATGGTCTCGCTGGCGCTTGTCTTGACTGGAATTTGGCCTGCCAGTTTCGAGGTACACCATTTCAAGCTCTGCGCCTTTCTCTAGTTGCACTACAGTCATATAATCAGGTTTCCGTGCAAACTTACGAGATCCTTTTCGTATAGTGCTAGCTAAACTCCCCTCTTCACCCCTATTTAAAAAAAAAAGAATTACCGTAGATTCCCGAAAATAAGCTACCTTTTTTTGGATGATTTTAAACTCAAAAAATTGAAGGTAGCTTATTTTCAGGATATAGGCGTTTTGAGCATTTTTTATGCTCAACAGTGGGGTAGTTTATTATCGGGTGTTAAAAAAAATTTCTCACGCATATCTGATTTAGTAGTGCACATGCCGGCACTTGAGCCCTAATACGTACATACGTATATGTTGATTTACTTGCCGTCTTTTGCATTTTTTTTTAATTTTGTTTTTCTATTTTATTTAAATTTTATTTAAATCTTTCGCTTTTTTTATTTTTTATTTATTTATTTTTTTTTTTATTTTTTATTTTCTTTTATTTTATTTTTTTGCTTTTAGTTTTTTTAACTTTTTTAACGTTCTTTTTCTTTTTTTATTTGTTCATTTTAATTATTGCTCGATCAGATGACTTTATTTTTTACGAGGAAGAACATATGGGAATTCCGTTCGATATCATATACAAGTTTTACAGGCTCTATATCAAAATGCTTAAACGCTTATATAAAATCTCATCCCAAACAAATCATACAACCTATCACCTATCTAAGACCACATATAACATATCATACCAGGAATGTAACAAGAAGGAATCGTATAGCTATAAAGAGAATCGGTGGTGTAGGTATTTGATGGCATGAATGTTACTAAGACATAGGTTCTTGCACTGCCTACAGCAGCCGTGGAGTCTAGTCACTAAAATATGATGTTATTATGCTGCCTACAGCAGCTGCGAAGCCTAAACACCAAACAGAAAGTCTTTGCACTGCCTACAGCAGCCGCAGAGTTTAAATACAAACATAAGGTCCTTTACTTCCTACAACAGCCGTGGAGTCTAAATACCAAAAGCAAGATTCTTGTGCTGCCTACAGCAGGAGCCTAATTGCCAAATATAAAGTTCTTATTTTGCTAATGGCAGCTGCAGAGCCTAACAGCACTAACCAATATCTTGCTAAACAAGTGCACTGGTTTCAAAAAGTTACCAAGAAATGGGTGGGAGGGTGGAATGATAGAGCCACCCTTTACTTCAAGGTGAGCAATGTATTAACAAGACACTGTAAAACTGTACACAAATGAGGTCTTTGTCTTGAAAATCACCTTCTGGCATTTTCGATTAGGTTAATTCGAACAAAAACAAACCCAAGTACTGATTCATATTCATATGTTAATCATCCTTTACTTCACCACTTTACTAAGTCACTACACCTTTTAGTCTAGTATAATTTACTGTAAACTGCTATATAAAAGACCTGGGTCTTTTATATTCTACCAAAAAAATTAATTAGTAAAAAAAAGAAAATAATTAGTAAAAAATAAGGGTGGGTCTAATATATGGAGGAGGCAGTTTATAGTATTTAGTACAATTCTGAGATAGAATTGATTTTTGTTAGATAATTTGTAAACTAATAAAATTTCAGAATAGCTAATAAGTTTTCCAAAAGATGTTTGGTAAGTTTTACAGATTTAGTGAGTGAAATTTTAAAATTTGTTGAGTTTTTAGAAAGTTTAATGAATGAAAAAAAGTGAATTAGGGTGTGGTAACTTAGTGAAGTTGATAAGTTGTCGCATCTTCAAGTAGAAGACAAGAGTTCAAATCTCATTAATGATAGAAATTCAAATTTACAGAATGTGTTACAGCATATTGTGTATAAATTGATAGATCAGCATCTGTAACTTTGGTTATACCAGCTAGTACTGGAGGCTATAGAACAATAGTGTGATGCACAAGTTACACAAAACCCAAGTAAAATAGCTGTATAAATCCAAAGGTTGGTGTATACAAAAGCCTGCTTGCCAAGACCCAAGTAGAAAGATAGCACAAATCTTTGATGGTACTATATAAAGGATTATTATTCAGAGAATTGAAGAAACTGAACAGAACTGAAGTGTTTGGCAGCACTCTACCAACCAGGCTGTCAGAGGAGTAACTAGAAAAAAAGAACTCAACTGTGAAGATCAGAAGCAGGTCACAGCCCTTCTAGGCTATCTGAATTGAAAGTTTAGAAAAACTAGAATACAATAATAGTCTGTATAGTAGATGCTGAGGTTTGAATGAACTCTATAAAAACAGGAGTAAGTAACAGTAGCAGCTTCAGCTTACAAGTACTTGTTTTCAAACTCGGTATAAGTTACCGAAAGTCTAGATTAGCCAAATTGTAGATATAAAAAACTCTAGCAATGATGTTTCAAGGATAAATTAGTTTAAGACTTCTTGACTGACAAATGTAGCAGAGATATACCAGTAATACAGGTATAGTTGCATTATAGAGAATTTAATTGGGTAACTCAAATAATAGTGAATTATAGATACAGCATCTAGTATAGAACCTAGTAATAGGCAGACTACTTAAATTAAGCACTCAAAAGGCACAGGTAAGGCTAGAATGTACTCTCTAATATATAGGGTTTATTTGAGATATAGCCATGAGCTCCTTACAAAATAATACTTAAATAAAAACTCTAGTCCCAAAGAGGCTAAATTAAAAAAAAAAACTGTAAATTTTCTGAGACAAGCCAATAAATTTTTAGAAAAATTTACAGTGAATTTTTAGAACAAGATGTTTTTTAACAAGAAAGTTTAAAGTTTTTTTGATGTAAAATTATTATTTTTTATCTATTTGTAATGAATTATATATCAAAATGTTTATTTTGATGAGTGAAACAAATTTGTTTTAAGTAAGATCTGAGGTTTACTTAGTAAAATTCAAAGTAAATTATAAGAGAAAAGTTAAAGAAGTTTTAGTTATAATTTGATAAGTTCAAGTTTGTTTGTAGTATATTATATATTAAAATATTTGTATAAAGAAGCTAAGTAAGTTTTAGTTAAAAATAGGTTTAGATTGTAAATAACTCCAATGTGAGCTCTATCTGAGTTTTTAGTCTTAGTATACTTTGGATATAGAGTTTAAATAATATAATTTTTTTTTTTAAAAAAAGTTTAATTAAATTTTAATAAAGATAGAGATATGGCCTTACCTTTGAAGATTAAAAAAAAAAAGTTTTAGCTAAAAAGTATAAGTAGTTGACTTAATATAATTTAAAGAAAACTTTGAATTTATAAATTTTATTATTTTTAATAGTTTTTTATAGTTAAAGGGTGAGGTGACTTAGTGAAGTGGTGAAGTTGTCGCATCCTAAGCAGTCAAGTGTTGATTCAATTCTCACAGAAAGTAAAAATTGAAATTAGAAAAAAATGGATTCGCCAACTATTGTCATAGCTGTAAAAACTCAAGATTCTATAACTGTAGTCATACCAAGAAAACAATTGGAAGATCCTAAGACATTTGTATAATGAAGAAGTTATACAAAGACATGCAAGCCGGTTTAGTTGATGCAAACCTTCAATAAGTCTTTTGGGGTCGCAGAAAGCTACAGAGTTGATACAATGATGGGGCACTTGCTTAGCAAGTCCTGAATAGAGAAGTAACAAAGACTTTCGACAGTACTACTGGAATAGGCTTCACCTGAGGCTAGTATAACTGGATGAGAATCAGGTATTCGGAGAGAGATACTTCACCAACCAGACTGCTGGAATGTCTGAGAAAAAAATCTGCAATGCAGATATCAAGGGACTGGTGTTCCTTTCGGACCATCTGAATTAGTAATTTGGAGAGACCGGCTAGAAGGTACTGAAAAAGAAAAAGGTACCAAGTTGTCTTGAAGAAGTATTGGAGTATGAGTGAACTTTATAATGACAAGGAGTAGGTTGTATAGCAGAGATCAGGCTATAGTTAGTTAAAATATTACCAAAAAATTGATAAGAACAAAACAGCCAAAAAACAATTTCACTATAGAAACTGGCCACAAGTAGTAGACCTCAGCCCATGCGTATCAACTAAAAAGACTAGGTCAGTCAGATTGTGAATATGAAAGGCTCTAACAGATTTATTACAAGAATAAAGTAGTCCTAAGAGACCTTAGCAGCAGCCTCTTTGGGGAGAATATCTGACAGCGCTAAATTGATTAGAGAGTTTAATTGTGTAGCTTAAATAATAGTTGGTTACAGGTATAGCATTTAGTGTAGAATCTAGTAATAGGCAGACTACTTAAATTAGGTGCTCAAAAGGCATAGGTATGGCTAGAATATATTCTCATTAATATAACAAAGTCAGAGATAATTCTGTGGTTGCCTTAACATTTGTAACTGAAGTTAATAAAATGTGTTAGACCCCAAAGTGGTCACCTTAACATCAAAAAAAAAAAAGTTTTTTGTAGTTAATTTGATAAGTTTATAAGTTAGCATATTGAAACTTTTATAATATATATAAATCAAATAGATAAATAAGTTTATTTAGAATATCAAGATGGATTTGCTTAATAGTTTAAAGAGTTATAGACATTTTTGTCTTGTTGTTTTTTAGATTTGTTTTATGTAGATAATTTACGAAAAAAGTTATTCCCAAAAAAAAAGTCTTTTTAACTAGCCTTATATTTATAATTAAATATAAGCAAGTAAGTTAAAAATAATAATTTTTAAAAATTGACTTTCAAATTTACTCTTGTTAGTTATCAACACATTAAATAATACCTAATTTATTTTAAAACATCTTTATATTTTAATAAAAGGTAAAAATATTTCTTTTTACAACTTAGCATAGCTCTTTTATTAGTTTTTATTAGTTTTTTAACTAGTCTAGATATTAAAAAAGCTCTTATTTATTATTTTTTAAACTTTATTTAAAAGTAAATTTTATTTTTTTTTTATACTGATGATATTACAATTATTGGATGCATATAGTGCTCTTTTATTTATAAATCTGGATTACATCTTATACATTATAATTTTTCTATTTCTATATTATCTGTACCTTCTTAATCTATACTTGGTTCTCTGAGTACCCTTTATTCGTTTCTCTGTCTGCTAGCAATGTTTTTGGTTTTAGCTT